CACTCCCGCTCGTGTTTGACCATGTTACCGATGAAAGTGGTCACATTATTGTTATTGTTGTTGCGTTGTACCAACTTGCGGAAACACTCGATAATTCGGGCCGATTTCCTGTACCGGTGATAAGAAGCCACGAACATAACTAATCGGGTTCCCTCCAGCTAGCAGCGGACTGGCAAATGAAGAAGTACAAGTAGTATAGGAGACGTTGGCCGAGCCAAATTGCAGTGTTCTCGAGGCTTCGCCCGGTTTGTTGACGGCAAGCACGCGCTTTTTTCCTCCTGATCTCCATCTGAAGGTCGAAGCAAGCGTTTAGCCCTTGGCCTAGATTGAAAGGCGTCTTGCCTTTCCTTTTGATTATTGATGTAATCTAGTGTTTCTTATGTATTCTGACTTTTGTAATCTGTAGTAACCTCTTGAAATAGTGCGAATAAAGAGTTTCAGTTCAGTTTTTAGCTTCTTCTACTTTCTCAGTTGCTCGCTGAAACTTTAACAACCGCTCAAACAATCAAGCGTTCGTGTCGTTGGCGTAGCAGTTGACGTCTATGTTAAGCGTAGATTCTATGATTTCAACGAAATTGTGAGAAGTTTTCCCAAAAATATATAATCTATCTTTACCAGGGCACAACGATGAACATGTGACACATTTCGAGCTCTCATTGACACATTTCTTCAGTGTTTCTCCCAATATCCACATTTTCGCGTGAAACCTTACGTCATTCAGATTTTCTGGTATGTGATTGGTCTGTTCAATAGACCTCGACCAAACCACAAGGACAATGAGAAAGGAAAGTAGTTCGGTTGTCAGCAGCCGTTCTTTTAGGGGAGCGTTGCGTGACATCCGAAAAAAAGGCTGCGAGGGAGACTACGTTAGAGGACGTACAAGAGATTTTAGAGGACCTGGCCACATTCTTTGTGGAATTCGGAGAAGAAGCTGCAAAAAAAGAAGCGTTTGAAGAGTCCGAAACGATCGAAAGAGAAGTACAATAAAACGTTTGAAGCGGGTCAAAATGCGATTAAAGGCCGCGCGTCCAAAACCAAGAATATGAAATGGCCATTAAGCGAGAACACAGCAGATCGCTAGGATCAATCGGCCCAAGAAGATAAGCTCAACGAAAGTCACCGCAGCCACGACGTCCGGAACCGATATTTGAAGCCGTTAACAGTTCCCACGTTCAATGGTGACATGAGAAAGTTTGAAGAGTTTTGGGCCCTTTTTACGAGTCTCGTAGACGAGTCAAGGGAGCTAGTACATTTGAAAATGGCAAGATTACAACAATGCCTTATAGGGAACGCTTTAGAAGCCATCCATGGTCTCCGAATACGAGGAGGCAAAAGAAATATCAAAGACGAAGTATGGAGGTACGCGCCAGCGTCTGCAAGCCTTCTTAGATCAAGTAGGACAGGCGCCCTTAATAGGAAGCAGCGATATCCACGCGCTGGAGAAGTTTGCTGATCTTGTTAGAATTACAGTGGTAAAGTTACAGACCGAAGGAAGAGACGGTGAGTTACGAGAGTTACTCTTCACAGCCTGCTAGTAAAAAAGTTGCCTGATCGTCAGCTAGAGAATTACAGTCGCTGGTTAAACGAACGCGCCAGACAAAGATCAGTCATTGCTTTCAGAGACTGGTTGAAAGACGAAGTGAGACTCCGAATAGAAGCGGTGGAAATGGTGGACGGGATTGAGTCCAAACCTGTCGAGCGCGCCAGATTGCCGAGAGTACCGAGATACCAGGATCAGAGCAGGATGCGAAATTTACATACTGTTGCAATGGGAAAATAGCCGCGTAGTGTGAAGCCTCCATGTTCTCTCTGTCACAGTTTCGATCACGCGGTGTGGTATTGCAAGGAGTTTTACGACAGAGGAGTGGATGACCGCTGGAGGATCGCGAAAGAAAGAAAGCTGTGTTTCCGTTGCCTAGCCTCTGATCATAGGGGGAAAGATTGCCTGAGAGCCCGCAAGTGTGGTATAGACGATTGCTTTCGAAATCACCACCGTCTTCTTCATGGAGGTGAAGTTTTGTCGGAAACTGGACCGACGACAACGTTGCCTTATGTTGTAGATTAGAGACGCCCAGATGTTCCACGGGAGGGGGCACCCGCTGTGACCCTGACCAGCTGTAATGAAGGAACGTCGACTAAATCTTATTCGTTACGAAATATCCCTGTGTGGATGAAGGCCAATGGTAGAAAAGTAAAAATAAACGCCGTTCTAGACGACACATCGGACGAACCTTTCCTAAATGAAGAGGTTGCTGGGGTACTAGGACTGCAAGAGCCTTTCAAAAAAGTTCAAGTTCATGTTCTCAACGACATCGTCGAAACTTTTCAGTCCATACCATTACAAATTGAGATCGAAAGTGTATATGGCAGGTGGTCACAGGAAATCGGGGTAAAAACATGTCCTCAGAAAGTCACAGGTAGTTACCGAGTTGTGAACTGGAACAAACATCAGGATAAATGGCCTCACATGACCCAGTGCGGTTTTCCCAAGCCGGCAAATGATGGACTTGTCGATCTTTTGATTGGCAGTGATAACGCTGAATTCCATTATTCACATGTTGATCTCCGAGGAAAACTTGGTGGACCTATCGCCCGCCTCGGACCACTTGGGTGGAGTTGTATAGGTGCGCCTGACGAAAGCGCAACCGCGAGGACACGATCCCACGTTATTCGTTCCTTGTTCACTAGAGAGCCAATTTGGAGCGAGAGAAAAGAGTCCTGTGGTGATGTCGACAACAGCTTAAAGAGATTCTGGGAAATTGAGAAGTCTGGCACAGACCGCGATGACAGACTCGTACTCACCGAAGAAGAAAGACTAGCTTTAAGCAAAGTGAAAAATTCCCTGAAGTACAAAAATGGAAGGTATTGTGTAGTCGTTCCTTGGAAAGAAAACAAACCCAATCTTCCTGACACTAAACCTATGGCACGGCCTCGACTACGAAGTACCGAAAGAAATTTGAAGAAGAACAGCCGTGTCGCTGAAGAATATCAAGCAAACATCCAGGCTTATGTTGGTAAAGGATATTTACGAGAGGTTTCCTCAAAAGAACAGCTGCCAGCTAACGTATGGTATTTGCCGCATTTTCCGGTCGTGAGAATGGATAAATCGACAACAAAAGTACGAATCGTATTTGACTGTGCCGCTAAATGTAATGGTACTTCCTTATATGACATGATTCATCCTGGTCCGAAATTACTGCGAGATCTTTTCAAAGTCCTCGTCCGTTTCCGTCGAAACCCAGTTGCCATCGCCTGCGACATCAAAGCGATGTATCTCCAGATAGAGATTGAGGAGCAGGACCGATCTCACTTCCGACTGTTGTGGAGAGATCTTGGCCCTAAACGAGGGTCAGATGTATTCGAGTTTTAACCGTGTAGTTTTTGGGAAGAATTCAGCCCCTATGGAGTCGCAGTTCGTCGCGCAGGAAAACGCTCGAAGAAACTAAGACCGTTATCCCCTCGCCGCTGAGACTGTCCTTAAGTCAACTTATATGGACGATTCTATTAACAGCGTTGAAAACGAAGATAAAGGAGGGGAGATGTACCGTCAATTGAAGGTATTATGGGGATTCGCCGGCATGGAAGCCAGGAAATGGATCTCTAATTCACCTAAAGTTATTGAAGCGATTCCATCAGAAGAACGCTCTACAGAGATCGTGATTAACAGTGGTCAAGACCCGATAACGAAGACACTGGAAATTTCGTGGAACAGTACTGAAGAAGTGTTTGCCGCTACCGCTTCTCCGGTTTCCCCAGAATTTCAGACAACAAAGGGAAACGTCCTGCCTAAAGCGGCAACGATTTTTCACCCACTGGGATTCGTATGCCCGTACGTTATTGTAAAAAAGATTCTACTTCAGGAAATGTGGATGCTAATAATGTAGGCTAATAATATCGTAAGCAAATGACGCGGACCTTTTAATTTTGACGTGTGAGATTTTTTAGAGGGAGTTGAAAAGTTTTTAGTTTATCGAGTAGCAGTTTTGTTTAATGGTCGTTGTCGTTTACCGTGTCGGAATTAAAGTGTTTGTTTGGATTTCCCGTTTCGCTTCCGAACACTAGGTGAAATACAATGTTTCTGCGAAATTTGGCCTCAAGTTGAAAAGCGCTGAGTCTTCTTAAGGTGGCTCAATAGGGTTATGCAAGATCGCGAAGTGCGCGCCAGTGACATCAATGGAATGTTAATATTCTCGTTGTTTTTGCTATTTTTCAAATCAAAGCTACTGAAACATAAAAAACAAGGGCCTAAATTTGCTGTACAACAGTCACCTCTGAAGTCAAGGCTTTTAGTCCCAAATTAAAACTACTAAAATATCGCCATTTTTTGACGTCTGTTTGACTTTGATTTTAATTTTCTTCAATTTCCTTCGGTAAAATTTTCTATTATTCTCCGACCGGGTAGAGTCTGACAAGACGAAACTTTTAAAATCGAAAAAAATAGGGGTTGTCAAGGTAGTTTTTTCGCTTTTAACATTTTTGTTGTTTTTTGGCTGAGCGAAAAACTTGTCTTACAAATTTTTCTGATAAATTCACAGCAAGGAAAGCTAAAAGGGTATAACATC